TAAATAACCTAGCTGTCATCATAGAGCCTTTTTCCAGTGACTGATGGAGACAGATGCAGAGATCCATGGTCAGGCACCAGGCTGAGCTCTGGGAATCCAATTGATGAGAGAGAGGAGGCATTCAGCAGGTGAGGGATGTCAAGATCATGATGGGAGGATGTGCAGATATGACCAACCACACTAGTGGAAGCCCATGAACTGTGGACTGGTGTGTATGGAGCTCCCATGGCATTGGACTAGGCCCTCTGGATATGGAAGATGGTTGTTTGGCTTGAACTGTTTGGGGGGCACCCACACATGGGAATTGGCATCTGTCCCTGGTGCATGAGCAGGCTTCTGGGAATCCTGTGCCTGGGGTGTGATGCTTTGCACAGGTTTGATGCAGTGGGAAGGGGCTTGGACCTGCCTAGGCTCAGTGTGCCGGGCTCTGCTGACTCCCCATGGGAGACCTTGATTTTAGAGATGCATGGATGTAGTTTGGCTTAGGAGAGAGGACTGAGGGTTGGGAGGAGGGAGGAGGGAAAAAAGAATAAACAATTCTCCATAGTTATAAGAAAATTGAAATAATACCCTGGACTCTATCCCATCATCATGAATTAAAGCAATACCAACAGGAAATATACAAACTCATGGAAGCTGAACAACTCACCGATGAAGGAACAGTGGATCAAGACAGCACCCAAGAATGTAAATGAAAACACAGCGTATCGAAACACTAGGACACAATGAAAGCAGTTCTCAGAGGCAAGTTCAAAATACTGAATGCCTACATAAAAATACTGTAGTGATTTCTTATTAATAATTATAATACTTATAACACTTGAAATCTCTAGAGAAACAATACTTGAAAATAGTAGATAAAAAGAAACAAGAGAACTGAAAAATCAGGTAGTGAAAATCAAGGATGAAATCAATGATATAGAAACAAACAGCAACAGCATAAACCAAATGAAGAATTAAAAGAAATGAAAAGTTGTTTCCTCAGAGAAATCAAGAAGATGACAAGGCCTCTTTCTCTGTCTTTTTCTTGTAAGGGTATTGAAAAGAAACAGTCTTTTAAATCAATAACTATAAGAGGCCATCCTTTTGGTAACAGAATAGGCAAAGGAATTCCAGATTGTAGAGAGCCCATTGACTGAATTACTTTGTTAATTGCTCTAAGGTCTGTTACCATTCTCCATTTACCAGAATTCTTTTTAATAACAAATGCAGGAGAATTCCAAGGGCTGGTTGATTCTTCAATATGCTGAGTGTTTAACTGTTCTTCTACCAGCTCTTCTTTTTTTTTTTTTTTTTTTTTTTGGTTTTTCGAGACAGGGCTTCTCTGTGTAGCTTTGCGCCTTTCCTGGAACTCACTTGGTAGCCTAGGCTGGCCTCAAACTCACAGAGTTCCGCCTGGCTCTGCCTCCCGAGTGCTGGGATTAAAGGCGTGCACCACCACCACTTTAACAACAGGCTCTTCTAAAGCCTGTTGTTAAAGGCCATTGCTGAACCCATACAGGCTCATCTTTTAACAATTTTAAAAGTAGAGCTGTTGGTGTATTTAGGAGATCATCAGTTGTTGTGCCCTGTTCTTGTATAATATGGATGGCTGTTGAGCACTCATTAGAATAATATCTTCTAATATTTCTCTCATAAACATGTGCTAGTTTATAATTTGTTTCTGGGGTTGGAGGGATGTTAATCTGAGTATTCCATTGTTGCAACAGGTCTCAACCCCACAGGTTCAGAACTATGGTAGCCATATATGGTTTTAATTTTCCTCTCTGTCCTTCGGGACTTATAAGTTCGAGCCATCTTGCACTCTGTTTCACTTGAGATAATGTCCCAATTCCTAACAGTTGAACATTTACCTCCTGAAGAGGCCAAGTTGGATGACAAAATTCTGGTGCAATTAAGGTAACATCCGCACCTGTGTCTACCAGACCAGACAACAAAACACTAATTATTTTTATTGCTAATTTTGGTCTTTGTTCATTAATAGAAGTTTGCCAAAAAAATTTCTTTATGTTTTCTCCTGAATTTTCTATTCTCTCTGTTTCGTCATCCCAACCAGCATGATTTATTCCAATAGGCATTTGGTTATTTAATTGCTCTGAGTAGGGGTTTAATCTATGACTGCAGGAAAAGTTTGAACTGGATTTGCTCTGGGGGGCCTACCTGAGGCCCCTCTGGGAGTTTCCCGAAGAGTGAGGCAAAATATTACCTTGCCTGTCCCTTGTTGATCTACATTCCTTGGTCCAGTGTTTTCCCTTACCATACCTTCTGCATACTCCAGAAGGAAGGGGCATTCTGTTGCCATTGTTCCTTGAGGAAACATTGTTTCTAGGAATGACCTGTTTACAGTCCCTTTTCAAATGTCCTTGCTTTCCACATCCAAAACATCTAACATTTCTCAAACCTTTTGAAATTGCTTCTCCTACCCACATATCATCATGGTCATGAGCCTCAACATTAACCTTGTCTCTAATCCAATCTTCCAAAGATGCAGATCTTGCCTAATGGCCTGATTATTTTTTTGCATGCTGAATTCACATTCTCAAAGGCCAAAGATTCAATTATTATCTGACTGGCTTCTGAATCTGGGACCATTCTTTGTAATGCTGAAGCCAGTCTTTGTAAAAAATCTGTGAAAGATTTTTTTGGGGCCTTGTATAAACTTTGTAAATGACTCAGTTTTTTTTTCCTGGTTCCTCAACTCTGTCCCATGCATGCAAGGCTGATGTTCGACATAGAATTAGGGTTTGGACATCATATAAACATTGTGTTTGTACTGAAGCATATTGGCCTTCTCCAACAAGCTCATCCTGGAAGACTTGTATTCCTTTAGCCCTCCATTGTTTTTCTATGTTTTTAGCCTCCTCCTTGAACCACTTTTGCCACTGGAGACTTTGACTGGGTTCCAGAACAGCCTGTGCCAGCTCCCTCCAGTCCTGTAGTATAATCCTATTAAAATTTGACCAGGTGTTTAGCATTTGCTTTACATATGGGGAATGCAGGCCATAAGATACTATTGCCTCCTTAAACCTTCATAAATCTAACATTTCAATTGGAGCCCAAATATTTTGTGTATTCACTTGATGAGGTAACTGTTGTACGTTTACCAGATAAATTAAGGGTGATTGTGTGAAAACAGGCTTTCTTTCTGTAACCTTATGATCCAGTTTTGAAACAACTTCACTGTTTATTTCTTTTGTCTGAATTTGAATTTCTCTATAATTCATCTTAACAGGTTTAACAGGTTTTTCTAAAACTTTTATCCTGGCACTTTAATTGACTATCTTTTTAAATAGTAAAATGAGGATAAGAAAGGTAATAAAGTGCATAATTCAATCAATATTAATCTTCTCATATAGTTGTTCCATTGTAAGACTGCCTAAAATTTCAAACAAAGCCCAATTTTCTTCCAATGTACACATAAAACCCATTTTTTTAATGTGGAAAAAAATTCTCTTTTAAATAGTTTCCTTTAAAATATCTCATATCTTAATTGACTTACCAAGTCTGCATAGAACAGTAGAAATCTGAGAGAATTTCAAAACAGCCACCTAGTGTCTGAGGTGTGAATCCAGAGAGATAGAGAGAGAGAGAGAGAGAGAGAGAGAGAGAGAGAGAGAGAGAAAGGGTAGTCACAAGTTCTGGCTAAAAGCTTAAATCCAGCCACATGTTCCCACTAGAGCCGAGTCAAGCCTGGGCTCCAGCTTCCTTAAGCTCCGACCACGTACATTGGCTTTACAGGCAGGGGCCCTGTTCGGCAGGGTAGGCCTGAGTTGTTTGTAGCACCGGCTTTAAGCAAGTAGCTCCAGCTGTGTGTAACCACTTGGGGCTATGGTCAGACTGGCCTGAGACCAAGCCAACCTTGGCCTGAGCTAGGGAGCCAGGCCACGCAGGAGGGAAACCGTACCTGCTGCCAAGCCAAGCCAAGTTATTTTTAACGGATTCTTGTCACGTTGGGTGCCAAATGTAGAAGTAACCAACCATCTTATTAAATAAGAAACACAGAGCAAATACAGAGATAAAAGCCAAGAGGTCAGAGCAATAGCTAAGAGCTAAAAAACTTACCCTTCACTATCGCGGTGGTCCTACCTCTCCAAAAGGGACCTACTTCCTGTGTGTCTGTCTTTATAAAGACTTTCCTTCTACCTTCTCATTGGTTGTAAACCCAACCACATAACTGCCTCGTCACTGCCTGTCTGTACAGACCTCCAGGTCTTCTTTGGTTGGTATTGAGATTAAAGGCATGTGTCTCCAATACTGGATGTATCCTTGAACACACAGAGATCTACCTAGCTCTGCCTATCAAGTGCTGGGATTAAAGGTGTGCACGACCACCGCCCAGCTTCTGTGATGGCTTGCTATTAGCTCTGACCCCAAGGCAATTTTATTTATTAAAATACAAATAAAATCACATTTCAGTACAAATAAAATATCACCATAAGAATCCACTGGTTTCCTTTGGTTTAGGAAATCATGTCTCTATCATTTTGATGGGTTTTATCCAGCATGGGATTGTGGCCCTTTCTCCTTCCCACTCTACTTGGAATGTCATCCCCTGATGTATGCTGTTTACGCCAACCTCAATTGTTTTCATACGAAAAGTTTCTTGTTTCATTCTTGTGGCCAAATTAACCAAAGAGGACTTCATCCCTGAGCCTTTACTGCCTCTTGTTTTAGCTGAAATCATGGTGCCTACGGGTACAGAAGAAAATCTATAAACATATTTTCCAGCTTGTTTTTCACCTGGATACAGGGCCTCAGATGCATAGCCCAGAGGAAGAAAGAGTTCTAGAATTCTCAATGGCAGTGAAGAGGTATAAGAAAGTGCTCAGAGTGTGACAGCTCTCTGGGTTACAGTGACAGCCTCAGCCATCAACAAAGTTAGAAGCGCATATGGTCACAAACACTTGAGCTAAGTATAAACCTGCAGGACACTGTGAGATCTGGATCCATCAGACTTATGTCTGTGCAGACATTTGTGTTAGTAGGATGTTTTATTTTAGTTATTATTATCAGGATCTTGTTTAGTCACAGTTATGTATATGCCTATAGCTCCAGTGAATGTTATTTCAGAATCAAAGAAGATATTCACCATGAAGGAGATGCAGTCATTGGTGTATTTTTTCCAGTTCATTCTTACTACACAGGTAACAAAATTCCACATCCATACCTGCCGTACTTTTTCACTGACATTCACATACAGTAAGTGTTGTTATTCATTTATCCTGTTTCAGATTTCATGTTACAGGTGACCCAGGTGCTATATGTATTCAAACTTCAATACTTCTTATTTATATAAGGAAATCTTTCTGGAATCCAAAATTCTTTACTTAATTTTATGTTACTCTTCATTTATTTTATTTTCTTAAAGAGGATACAGAAAGGTTACTTGTCTGTTTATTGATTATTGTTTCCAAATGATTATTTTAATCTTGTTATCTTACTTGACTATGCCTTTACAGCCACATGTTTCTCATGATAGGTCTTCAGAGGGAAGATGATTTTATCAAAGTTTGACCTGGTTTTTCAGCACAATCAAGAAGTCTGTATGTACTCCTGTGAAAACAGGTGTTCCCACCTCTTTTACTAGAGAGGGATGTGATGATAGAGTCACAAGTGTGCATGTGTTAGATGACACTGATTTAGGAGTAAGGGTGTCAGATTTAAAAGTTGGGAATACTTTGCTGTTGTTAAACATCTCTGCCTCTCTTCATGTTTTTTCTTTAATTAAATTAATTATTTACTAATCTTTACTCTCAGATACATTTTCCCTTTTATGTGTCTATTGATGAAAGCTTTTCTAATAAGTTGTTTATCTCATTTTCTTTCCTTTTTTTACATCTTCATGTGTGTGTTCATGAGACACAATGATATGATTGTGGCTGTTTCACATTAAGTTAGAAATAAAATCAAACTAAGTTTGTGGCAGAAAAATATTTTTGCTAGTACAAAAGTTTAATATGTATATCTTTTCTCCTTTCTTTTCCTTCCTCAAAATCTACCATTGTATGACACCTTTTCCAAATTTTTTCATACAAGTTGGGGTACAAGAAGTGTATATATCAAAAAACTAAAATCATTTTTTAGAGCTTCTGATTATGTCCATTATTACAGCATGAGAGTACATATATGTTTTAAAAGAGGGAATGTGTTCTCTTTCTATGTCTGTCTCTTTGTCTCTTTTCAATGGTTTCTGCATTTTTACATGCCTAGAAATGATCATCTTAATTATCAAGATTACAAAACTTATAGGCTCTGGGCAGGAATTTTGTTCTACTAGGTTGGTTTTTGTGTGACCTAATTTTTTTTTTCCTTTGCAAAGTAACAAGGCAATTTTCTTAAAAAAAAAAGTATAATACTTATCAGAAATAAATTATTGTCAAAACTGACAGAGTATCATGTGAGTCTGGAAGTACCCAAGGACTTTGATTATGATTTGGGATTTTCAAGAGAAGAACTTTTCATGCTAGGAAGAATAGTCTGGGTGAATCTCTATTTTGATTGGCAGGGTTAGATGATGTAAGCATTTGCCCAATGCAACATTAGCACATAATGCACCTAATGTTGATCATGTACACATACAATTATGCATAGTGACCTAAACTACTAACTGGATTTTATTTTAAGGCTATGATAACTGTTCAGATAATATGATAGAGAAATATTAAAAATGCATATCAATTTCCAGATTAATGTAAGTTATCTTTTAGGTGCAACATGTCTTAGTATATTAGACTGCACATGAAACAAATTTTAAAAGCATTTGTTACCACAATTTTTTGTGTGTGTCCATGCACATTTATGCCTCAAGTCTCACATGCAGGGGAGAAACCATTGTGGGAAGGTATCTTCACCTTCTATCGGGTGTGTGTTGGGAACAAACTCAGACCATAATCAGTGCTAGGATTTTGCCCTGATTGAACCATATTTTCCCCTTTGGCAAATCCTGTTGTACATGGTGGCTATTATCCTTCCAAATTAAAACTAGTAGTATCTTTACAAATGTGTGAGATGAAGAATATATCCCTTCCATTTACTTAAAAATTTGGTTGACTTGTTATGTCAAAGTAGATTACACTAACTCTACAAACATTTCTTATATTAATAATGTGATAGAAATTAATGTATCGTATGAATATTATCTTTCACAATGTGGATGTTAAAAGTTTTTCTCTTCTACTATATATTTATGTCCTTTTGTAAGCAGTTTCACACATCAAAAGTCAAAATTAGTTTTTTTGCAGCTTAATCTGAAATACTTTGCATTGGAATGCTTGTTTTAAAATTTTTATTATTTCAGTTATTTTTGAAATTACAATATATTTGGAACATTTCTCTTTTCCTTCCTTACCTCCAAACCTTCTCACATAACTCTGCTTCCTCCCTTTCAAATTCATGGACTGTTTAAAAAATTGTTATTGCACAAACATATGTGTAATAACAATATATTCCTAAATACAATCAGATCAGTCTATATAAATCTACTCCTATGTACATTTTTGAGGATGACCATTTGCTATTGGATATTCAATTGCTTTGCTTTTTCCTGTAGAAGATTATTTCTCTGACTCTTGACATTCCTTAGTTGCCTATAGTTCTTTCTGTAGGATTAAGATGCCATGATGTTTCTCCCAGCCACTTTGGTATGTCTATCATTGTTTTCCTCATTTATATCATGTTTAGGCAGTCATGTTCATGAAACTTTCAGGATAAGACATCAATTATAAAATGTCAAAAATTTTTAACAAATACCCTAACTTTGACTAAGATATATCAACATAGACTTTAAATTATAGGAATAAATGGTTTGTTATCTTATTTAGAACAAATACTTAAGGACAACATTACATACATATAAATATATGTACATTGTATGTTTCTAGAATTGAAAAAAAGAAATAAAAAGGTATAATTATCAATTTCCTGGAGCATAACTCAGAAAAAGTCACATTGCATGTTTTCCCCCATGTTTCCTATTTCTATGTATTAGCAATGAAAATGATTCTACCTATATCTGTGTCATGATTCCAAGCTCCTCCCTCCATTGTCTCCTGTGGCCTCATAATTGGTCACCCTCTTTCCATGAATTGAAGCTTTGTGAACTTTTCTCTTCATATGGGCAGAGTGATCTTTCAATGCTCTCTACATCCTTCTATGAAGGTCTATTTGGACTGGATTCATTTATTTGAAAAGCCCTTCTGTGGTGTGCATTCTGTTGTAGCCACTGTACTTTTTTATCCTCAGTTTGTACATTTCATAAGCACTGCAATTTTATTTGCTAGCTCCCTTTTTTGGAGTGTTTCACATAAAAAATGTGTAATCTACCCTGATATATTACAAAACAGCCAGAAACATACGCATAGGCAGCTAATCAGATACAGACCAAACTACCTGCTGTGAGAATGTTTTTCGTGGTCTCATAGTATTGAGTGCTGATGGCTGTCAGAGTTAGCACTGTGATGATACTTTTAATATTTATCTAAATGTGTCACTTCCAGAAATACATGTGTCTATCTAACACTGCATTTACATTCAGTAATAATTCAGACCATTTTAGATTAATTTTGCATAATGAGATTAAAAAATATTAAATTATCCAAAGTCATTTTTGTATCTAGTGTAACTGAATAAATAAATAATGACATCTCTGATTTCCAGTGAAATTATTAATTCCTACAGAACAGTCTCAGATTTCTATCCAATATGTCTATTTATCTTCTACTGTTATCATCCACTGACAATACTGTACATCATGAATTACTAAAATACATTTCTGAAGAGTTAGAATTTTGTATTTTTATTTCTCACCATTTTTTGCCAATTTCTTAAGGTTTTCACATTAGTAAAAATTCTTAAACATAGACATGTGTGAAATATACTAAAATTCAAAATCAATTTTTAACTAATGCATAATATATAGGATTAAATTTTCTTGTATATAAAGTAAAATATTCATATCACAACATCTATATACTTAGTGTGTCATAAGTTTCCTTGATCTTGAACACAAATGAGTGCTGATTCAGAAAATCCTAATTTCAACTTTTCTTTCTGTTTCTTTCTTTGGGTTCTGGCTTGACCCTAACTTTGCCTCTGTGATATCTTGGACTCCCTTTCTCTTTCACTGAAGCCATTTTCCCTGCTCTATGGCTTCTTTTCTATTTGTGTCTGACCTCCATGTTTGCTAAACTCAAACAGCTTAAGCATGTTTTCTTACTTCCTCCCTCCATAGCTAATATTGTCTAATTCATACCTATCTTAGAGTTTTTTTCATTTTTAAACTCTAATAATACAGTATTCAAGTTGCAGAAAAACACTTTTAGTATCATATATGAAATGCACATAATTTTTGGTATACTGTATAATGTAAAACCTGAGATCCAATATATACTGATCAAATTTGGTGATTAAAGTTTCCATCCCATTATTATTGCTTAATGTTTGGAGGCTTTGAGCTCCTCTGCTCTTTTTTCATGGAAAATATAGCTGGGATGATGAAATATATTGTGCCCATAAGATTACAAACATGTATAACATTCTCAAAAAGTATGCATTATATATGCGTGTATGTGTACATATAAATGTCTACATATATACACACACATTTAACTCTACATTCTGGTTTCCACAATTTTTCTAGGTTTCCACTATTAAGGACTTTTGTGCCCAATTCCCTTCCAGTATATGCAATTCTTTTAATTATCATTTTGATGTGTCTGGCAGCTTTCTTGGTGTTGTTTAAATATTTTTATCAATTAATTAAGAAATTAAATGAAGTGTGTTTTGATTATGCTCATTCCTCCTCTAATTCCTTCAGTATGTACATAACTGTGCCAACCTTTCTATTCACCAAAGTTTGAAATTCCTTCTTTTTTCCCCAAAGAGGCCTGTTTATGTTGTTGAATTACTCATAAAACTGGAGCCTTCTCTAGACTGTGGTAAATGTACTGGAGGTCAAAGCTTTGATAATAACTAACTATAACAAAAACTATCAAATTAAAATTATCCATTGTTCATAGTGATTTTCACACTTAACTCTATTTTCCATGCTTGGTTTTTTTTTCCTACCATGAGTTTTTCCAGATGTGGTGTCACAAAAGCTATGCATTCATATGCACAATTGCTCTGTTATTTCTGGAAAATAATTTTCTTGTAATTATCTGTAACCTTTGTACAATCACAGAGATTTCTGTGGCTGAGTA